TAATAATTTGTCAGTATTTTTGTTATTCTTGTTACTGTTGGTAGTTTTATTTATTTATTTATTTTTCTTTTTTTTATGTTGTCATTGTTATCATGTTAAGTGTTGTTGTTGTTGTTGTTGTTGTTGTTGTTGTTGTTGTTGGTGTTGTTGGTGGTGTTGTTGTTGTTGTTGTTGTTGTTGTTGTTGTTGTTGTTGTTGTTGTTGGTGTTGTTGGTGTTGTTGGTTGTTGTTGGTGTTGTTGGTGTTCTTATGATTAATGTTGTTTCATTGTCATTATTATTACTGGTACAATCGTTACGACTATCGTTACTATTATTGTTATTATGATTGTCAGTATTATTGTCATTGATATTGTCATTGCTGCTGTGATTAATGTTATTAGATTGCTATTATTATTATTATTATCATTGTCATTATCAGTATTATTATTGTTGTCATAATTCGTATGATTAGTAGAGCTATCCGTATTATTGGTATTGTTATTCATGTTCATTTTCTTCTACTACCACTACCTCAACAACTACAGTGACAATTACGAAGCTGGTACTGATTGCAACAGCGCTGTCACCACCGTTGCTATTGATAGTACCATTGCCACTTTTGGTGAAGTTAGCTGATGCTGCTACTTCTACCCTTCTGTTAACGTGTGAACAGTAATCATATTCTGTACACATGCTCCTGGTGCTTTTGCGAGTAATTACTACTATTGTTATTGCAACCGCGAGGTTTACCTTCTTCTACAAGTATGGTGGCAACGAACCTATGACCGGATACTACATGCAACAAGTCAAGAGCCAACAGTAATTGTCCGAAGCGCATTTGTACCTATGCTGTCAGGGACGTAGTAGCGTGGAAAGTGGAGTAGTGGCTGGGATTGCAGCCAAAGCAAGATGACGCGCAAGTTTGCGCATGCCTGCCGAATCTTCCTATGAAGAAAGCACCGTTGGCATTAGCCTTGAACACGTCCGCAGTTCTACGAGCACATAACGCTTCACTTGGCTCCTGAGACCAGCTGCAGCCCCTGCAATGTGCAGATTTTGTGCTGTTTTGAGGCTTGTTTCATCTGTCTCATACTGTTTGTTGGGAATCACTCGTTGCGTAGTCATCACTTACCCTAAGGGTCCAAGGACCCAAATAACAGAGCTTTAGGGCCCAATTACTATAATATTAACGGTATTTGGGCCGTAAAACTCGATTATTTGGTCCTTGGACCCTTAGGGTTACCAACCATCCTACTGAATTATGAAGAACAGAAGATGGGCGAGGGAAAGCATCAAGGTTGGCCAAATCCATGTTTATGTGTTTTTGGTTCACATTCAGAGTCCTGCTTTGGGGTTCCCTACAGGGTTTAGGGTTTAGGGTTCCCTACAACGAGGATCCCCATATTTTGTGGGATGTATAAACTTTACCCTGAACCCTAAACCCTAAACCCCTACAAGGAGAATCTCTTAAAGCTTCATCTCGTACATACATGGAGCCCGTGGACCTGTTGGGCTGCCGCGGTACTGGGGATCCACACTGTTTAGGGTTTAGGGTTTAGGGTTTAAGGGTTTAAGGGTTTAGGAAGGTGAACAAAACACAGTTGAGATTTAGGGTATAGGGGACCCCTTATAGACCCCAGTATACTATACTTTAGGAGGACCCCCCCCCCTGTAATAGTGGTATAATAGGAATATAAGAGGACCCTAATATAATCCCTATTATCCCTTATAGTCACTATTATTGGGGGGGGTCCACCTAAACTCTATTCCTCGCTTTAGGGACCCCACAAAGAAGAGGCCGTTATTGTTGGAAACTCCAAGTCTAAATGCCGTCCGCAGCCGCCGTCTCTGCCTGGTCGAATGTCAAGACTCTAGTGCATCTCACACCTTAGACTTTAGGGTTTAGGGTTTAGACTTTAGGGTTTAGAGTTTAGGGTTTAGGGTCTAAGTCAGACAATCCCGGCATCCAAGGGCCTTTGGCTGAATTTAGGGAGACAGGACTTGCGTTCAACCCAGCAACCCTACGAGACTGCCCTTCAGGCAAGGGTGGCCTGTCAGTGGAAATCTTCAAGAAGCGAGCTCAAGTACGAAGCATTTCTTTCTTTGCAATCAAAGCACTCTACTCTTTATTCTTCGTGTTCTCTCATGATGTATACCCATGTGGTTATAGCACACCAATAAACTGATGAGCCACTGTAGAAAATCTACGTGATGCCTCCATGTACGGCAGAGACCTCAGAATTTCTTTTTATAGTCGGTGTGCTCGGCGCGCGAGGCCTCATAGATGGTATTAGGTTTTAGGATTTTGGTTTCTAGGTTTTAGCATTTAGGGATCTGAGATTCTAAGCCCTAAACCCTAAACCCACACCCTAAGCCCTAGGGCTTAGGGTTTGGGAATAAGGGTTGGGAAGCTCTGAGGTTCTGATTAGAGCGGAGTGTGGATTACAGCAGGACATTCTTCCGTGCACTGAACGTCATGGCTTTGTGCTATGTTGAAACCCTGAGCCATATGAGCTATAGTCTAAGCACCCTGAAGGGGGTTCTGTAGGGGAGTCATGTAGGGGTTTTTAAGCAGGATACTAGGAGTTTAGACTATAGCTCATATGAGTTTTAAGTTACAAGACCTAGATCCCAATTCTGCAAAAAGTGCCCGCCTAAACCGGCACCGTCCTCAACAGTTCTACTTGGAGGCTCTCTTGACTTAGAAGCTCCACTTAGTAGCCCTTTAAACCCTAAATTGTAGGGGTTGTCGGGGCTAGTCCATCCTTGGCAGCCCGGTAAAAAGACTACTCTAATGGGTTTAGGGTTTAGGGCATCCCCAAATAGGGAACCCTAAGAATATGGTAGGGATACAGTTGGAAAATACTAGCCAGGGTCTTCACATTCCGATAATATTCCTACGTTTTTCTTGGGGTTCGCTGTTTTGGGTTCCCATTTTACTCCAACCCTAAACCCTGACCCTAAACCCTGCTTGAACATACCAAAATACCTAAGGTGACTCTGTTCTAGGGGGTCAAGCCAGGCTGCATATAGGGGAAAAAAGACTAATCTTAATCGGGGCTATATGGTAGTTGAGGGTTTAGGGTAGTTTCCCAAAATAGGGGACCCCAATATCCTTAACCCTAAACCCTAAACGCTAAACCATATGGACCCCCAAAATATAGACCCCCAAATATTTTAATCGTTATTATAGGGATCCCCAACAAGGCACTAGGGTTCCTTAAGCTGCCTGAACAGTTGTTTGGGTCCATAGAGTTTAAGGTCTAGGGGAGTTTTGAGAAAAGCTGCGCCAGTGAGGTCCCTAACGACCCTAAGATCCTTGTGCCTCCGCTAGGCGGGCACACTAAACCCTAAACCCTAAACCCTAAACCCTAAACCCTAAACTAGCAACCCTGACGCCTACGCCGAAACTTGAAGCCATGAGCCCTAAACCCCAGGCACTAACCAGGGGTAGGTTTGAAAGTATTGTTTAGTTCTTACTACCCTTAATCCCTATATAATCCATAGAAAGCCATAAGAATTCATTTTCAGGGTTTAGGGCTTACACCCCAAATTTCCAAACCTAAACCCCGTAAACCCCTAAAGTTTTGAAAAACCATGACATCCCTATTTCACCCCCCCCCCATATCCCCTTGAAGAGTACCCCTGCATATCCATATATATATATATATCCCTATCTCTAAACCCTAAATCGTAAACCCTAGGCCCAAACCTCTTAAGAGCATAAGACCCAACTGTCAGCAGTGAGGCAAAAACCTCCAGACCATCCCATCGGGCGTGGTGTGGGCCCCGGCTTTTGGCATCATTACGGTAGGGTTTAGGGTTTAGGATTTAGCACTTCAGTTGTTCGGGCAGGGTTACAGGTTTGTAGTTTATAAGGTATAAGGATTATAGGGCGTAGGGATTAGGGTTTATAGGGTTTTGGGTTTGGGATGTAGGGTCTAGGGTCCGGGGCTCAGGGTTCGGCGGTTGGGGTTTGGGAGTATTTCCTGTTGGGGTAGGGATTTTAGTTCAGGGATAATCCCGCTTCGGAAGGGCCAAGGGTTTAGCTGTGTTCCCGATTGGGGTCTAGGAACGAAGTTCGCTGCTTGCAATGGGGGAATTCTTGCAAGCCCGAGTTAAAAAAGGTGGAAACGGAAGGGACTGTAGAGGATCCCTATAAAGGACATTTCAGGCGCGTCGTGCTTTAAAACGCGCTGTGCTTCCTAGCATGCCCCTTTATAAGCCTTGTAATAGTCCCCTACAAACTCCCCTTTAAGGAGTTCAGACTATAGCTGGCCTGGTCGAGGGGTTTTAAGCTCGGGTTCTGCAGCTTAAAAACCCTAAATCCTAAACCCTATAACCCCACTATAGTAGTTTCCATTTTAGTTTCCATTATTCCAGTATAACCCCAATAGAACCCCATTATAACCCCATGGTACTACCTATTATAATATCAGGTTTCAGGACGAAGGCCTCTTGGGCCTCCTTTATCCGGCAAGGCTCAGCCCTTTTACCCGGCAAGCCCTAGGTTTCGGGCTCTAGGGTTCGGGCTGTAGGGTTCGGGCACTAGGGTGCGTTCGGCCTTTTAAGGACCGGGCTGTAGGGTTTTGGGTTTGAGGTTTCGAGCTTTAGGGTTTGGGCTCTACGGTTCAGAGCTTAGCATTCGAGATTTTGGGGCTTTAGGGTTAGGATTTACGGTTTATGGTGTAATTTTGTTCATGATGTGGGACCCCACGGGCGGGTGGGCATTCTCTGTTATTGGACAATGTGCTTAACAAGTGAATGCTTGGACTTGACGCTGAACCCTAAACCCTGATTAAGCTTTCTCTTACCGATGTATGTATACATACATATACAGAAGACGTAATTGGTGTGCAGTGTGCTTTACGAGCGATTGGGAGGTTCACATCCTGGATCCCGCGGCGGCCGAATCATGCTGAGCATCCAACTGGATAGGCTTGCAACAGTTCTGCCCGACATGGCCTCTTTTGCTCACGTGTCGTGAAGGTTCAGCACAAGGAGAATGAGAATGTTCGGATGGATGGTCCATATGCCCTACAAGGCATAGGGGCCTCAAAACCATCCTTTTCCACATCCTCTTCAAAGCTCGTGGTCACGCAGTCCCAGGACGGTTGTACGGTCTCAGGGGTGCAGAGCGTTCTCACGACCACCAAGCGATGCTCAAAGAAGACATGCAGAACACACCACCACTACAACTACCGCAAGGTGGAGGGCGAGAAGCTTCACCGCTTGCCCCTGGAGGATGTACAGTATGTCTTCGTGAACAGCAAGCTGGGTTTTAGCAGCGACTTCCTCGACTATCACAATGCTCTGCAATTCCGCAGTGGCATTAACCGCAACGCCATTGAGTTTGCTCAGGCGGAAGTCCTGTGGCAAGATTCGCATCAGCACTTCCGCTGCCATCGCGAGTGCACGGCCGTGCAGCTCTACTACCTCGTCCTACAGGAAGCGAGTGAGATGTGGGCCTCTTCCCAAAACTCGGTACGCAACAGGCTTCTCTCCATCAAGATCGAGGATCCCCCCCACGCTGACTTCCTGGAGACCTACTCGTCCTGGTTACGCTTCGGGAGTGGCGCCAGGTCAAAGAGGTCGTGATTGATGGTCATGAAAAGGTTGCTGCCAAGTGTCACAGCACGTCCCTGCTGCGCGCAGGACGGCCACGCAAAATGGCCATGCGAAACACCGTCAGAACGACTCGTTCATGGCGGTGGACCAGCAAGTGGACTTGTCCTGGCCGTGGCCAATATGAATGACCCGGAGAACTTTCTAGTCGCCAAGCAAGTCCTCAAGCAGATGCTCACTCGTGGGACCGCCGTTGATTGTGTGATCTACGACAAGATGCGCGTCTGCATGAAAGCCATCACAAAGACAAAGAGTTCACACAGGTCAGGTATTGGTGCGTCGATCGCGTTCATGCGACAGGCCACTCTTCCTACTGTCCTTGCAGTCCACTCAACCATCCGCACCTGGGCCGCCGGCTTCGTGACGTCAATTCATCGGTCGCCGAACAGACCTTCTCGTGGTTCCGCTGCAATGCTTCATCATTCAACTCCAAGTCACCGGAGACCCGCATCTTCTATGTGTTCCTCTACGTGAGGAAGCACAACACGCTCATCCGGAAAGATTACATCCAGTATTTGACTGCATTCGGCGCACGAGCCAAGGTAGGTCGCGAAGGCAGCCCGTGTCCTCAAGAAACCCGCGTGCAAGAAATACGCGTGTCGCCGCCCATCTTCCTGAGGCACGTCGGCCAAGAAGAGACCCGCGCGAGCTGTTCGTAAAGTGCATCTCAAGAAGAATTGGAAGGTTATGGTTGTTCCTCGCGTACTCCCCTCGTGACAGGTAGCCGAACCTGTAAGCTAAGAGGGAGCACACCATCCAGTCTCCTTCTTGCGGGCAAACGCCCCGATGTTCCATGATGAATGATTGTCCTGTATGTGGGATCTAGATGAGGAAATCTTCAGATATTCAGTCCGGGTCATGCCAGGACAAATGCAACATGAATCCCAAGGGAGCATACCCAGTATCTGCTCGCAGAGAACAATTGTTCTACATCTCAGCCGCATCAGTTTTGACAGGGCCACGCGAAAGCAACCAAAAATGTTACACCATACTTGTAGAGTCTAGAAGGAGAATCCCATACGCACTCGCGTAGGTCGCGAGCTCAGACTTCCGCTTGCGCGGACGTCAGCCTACTCCAGAGCGTCAGAACCCAGGCCTGTGTATGCTATGCTATATTATATAGAAAAATCGAAAAGAATGCCTATTGTCTGTGAAAATCACAGGCCTGTATTCCGGCGCACTCCCCTCCCTCCTCCCTCCCTCCCTCTCTCTCT